GGATTTGTGGATGTGGTAGGATGATCATGAGATGGATTTGAGTCAAGATTTCATTTACTACCAGACCTAATGCTTAATGCTTCCCATCCCCCCAAAACTGATGAACCACAGTGGCTTTCAAAGTCACTGGGGACTGGTTTTACCTCAGAGCATTGTCCAGTAATTCCCAAAAGATAGGGTATTTCTCTTTTCCCAGTGCACAACTGTCCTGTAAATGGCGGCAGACTACTTTAGGGCAGGCTAAGGGGAAGAATTAAATACATATGTGTGATGTCATTGTAGGGCTATGCTTCAAGGACAGCCGTCTTCCCTTGGTTCACAAGGCCCTGGATCTGTGAATTGGCTACTGGGGTGACTCAAGTCAAGCTTCTAGTCCCCAGTTTTTATAGGACAAATGGGACTTTAGTGATCTGCCCATCTATTTTGGTTTGAGAGAACCTATGATTAATTAAAACATTTTGATCATCACTATGGCTCTGTTGCCTATTACAGCAATTCTGGAAACGAAGTACTACTACTTGGTTTCTGTCATCCAGCGATCCCACCATCCCCGCGGAAATCAGGAAGCCATTTCAGAGAAAGGATCTCCCCACTTCATAATCTGGGACATGACGCTTGTGCAACCCTCACTAATGTATTTCTCAGTACTCATGATTCACTGCTATCTCTCCACCAGACCACACCCGGTCTCACGGGAAATTTTCTGTGAACAGTTAACTGAGAAAGAGAAAGAAATTCAAACCTTTTATGTGTCAACTATAACTCAATGAAGCTAAAATTGAAAAAAAAAAAAAAAAGAAATTGAAGCCCTGGTTTACAGATGTACATAATATGCTATTGTCAGCCAGAAGTGGAGTGGACAGCCATAGTTTTATAAACCCATTAGTAGTTTTATAACATTATAATCATTTCTAATTTTTCTTTTGTATCTCTGATTCCTCATTAGATTTTAAGCTTCCTGAAGGCAGGATTATTCCATTATACGTGGTGCAATGGGAAAGAAAATCCTTTCTCTGGTGGGAAGGCAATGTCTATCACATCACCGATTAACTTACACATTGTACTTACTGTAGAACACAGAATGGGACTAGATCGTTTTAAGTTTAACCAGATGATGCCAATTTCAGTTGTTGTATATCCGTGTGGTTCTTTACCCGAGCAAATCCGACACTATCGCAGTACTCAGTACTCGCTATGCCGCTATTATCTAACAAACGCTTTTTGTGCTCGCCACAAAGTAGAGGGCACCAGAGGTTCCATCTGGCAGAGGGAACAGTACTTTCACCATCTTAGTGTTAAATCAGCTCTTCTTCATGAGGTAACTTAGTCCTTGGGTCTCTGGATGATCATCTCACCATCTCACAGCCCATCCCGCACATCCACCACGTCCATTGTCTCACGGCTGCACACCGTGACTTCCCCAAACCGCGAATTTACCCTAATAAACAACGGCTCAAAGAGGGTTGGTATGTATGTGGCCTGGTTGTTTACCTCTGTTTGCTAGTCACTGGTTTTACACTCTCCTGGCTGTTCTCTAAGTAGGTTTTAAGAAGGGAGTGGGGGGTAGGATTTCTCATTGTAAAGATTATGATAGAGATAGGGAAAGAGGAAAAGTTTAGAGTACTCTAGATTAAAGGAAGAGCATCAGCTAAGTCCTACCAGCAGGAAAGCTTATGCATCATGGAAGAGAAAGATGTTTAGTTCAATTAAATAGGTACACATGTAGTATGTACTGTACGTTTTATTTTCAGGGCCTTGAACAATTATATTTCTAAGTTTCAAAGGGGCACCTGGGTGGCTCAGTTGGTTAAGCGTCCGACTTCGGCTCAGGTCATGATCTCGTGGTCAGTGAGTTCAAGGCTGCATCAGGCTCTGTGCTGACAGTTCGGAGCCTGGAGCCTGCTTTGGATTCTGTGTCCCCCCCTCTCTCTGCCCCTCCCCTGCTTGCACTCTGTCTCTCTAAAAAATAAAATGAGGGTACCTGGGTGGTTCAGTCAGTTAAGTGTCCAACTTTGGCTCAGGTCATGATCTCATGGTCTGTGAGTTCGAGCCCCATGTCGGGCTCTGTGCTGACAGCTCAGAGCCTGGAGCCTGCTCAGATTCTGTGTCTCCCTCTCTCTGCCCCTCCCCCACTCACGCTCTGTCTCTCGCTCTCTCAAAAATAAATAAACATTAAAAAAATTATATTTCTAAGTTTTATGAAAATGTAATTTATAAATTAACTTATAGGATGGCTGAACAATCTGTTGTCTAAGCCAATACAAAACCCTATTTTGTTCGCAATAAAGTTGAACTATGAATTAATTCCTCATTTAAACTGTGTTTTTTAATTAATTTTTATTTTCAGAGGAAAATATGTGCATTCACTAGGATATAGGGACAATTCAAAATAAATTTTCAATTACACTGAAAATTATGCTTTATAATCTCTTTTTTTTTTTTCACATAACATTTCATGAACGTTTTCCCCAGAACATGAACTATCCAACTTCCTTATTAATGGGTTGGATGCATAGTGTTCCATTGTATGGATATAGCAAAGTGCATTTAACCAAAGCTTTACTAATGGAAAATCAGGTCAGTCCCAGTTTGTTGTTGTTGTAGTAAATAATGATGTGTTGAACATTCTTATGTGTAACTTTTTGCACCTATCTGATTATTTTCTTACTACAAATTTCTCTAAATGTCCTTTCTTGGTTAAAAGATGAAAACCATTTAGGGGTGCCTGAGTGGCTCAGTAGGTTATGTGGCCAACTTTGGCTCAGGTCATGATCTCACAGTTCATGAGTTTGAGCCCTGCATCAGGCTCTGTGCTGACAGCGCAGAGCCTGGAGCCTGCTTCAAAATCTGTGAACACCCCCTTTCTCTGCCCTTCCCCCACTCACATTCTGTCTCAAAAATAAATAAACTTTTATTTATCTATCTATCTATCTATCTATCTATCTATCTATCTTTTATTTTTGAGAGAGAGGTGGAGTGTTAACGGGAGGAGCAGAGAGGGAGACACAGAATCTGAAACAGGCTCCAGGCCCTGAGCTGTCAGCACAGAGCCAGATTGGGGGCTCGAACTCACTAACCATGAGATCATGACCTGAGCCAAAGTCGGACGCTCAACCGACTGAGCCACCCAGGCACCCCCAGGCAACTTTTTTAATGTGTTCTGTTTGCTGCTATATCCTTAGCACCTAGCTGGAAAAACAATAGTATTTTACTCAAGTTTTTTTGAATGAATATATTTTCAAATGGGGCACTAATCTTTTAAAACATTTGATTTGCAAAATCTGCAAGTGAAATGATATTAATTCTTCATCTGGCAAATAATTACCTAATTTGCCACTTCTTTTTTAGTTTTGTTTATGGTACATTTTGTCAAAGGAATCTCTAAAGCTGATATAATTTAATATTTGGCAGTTAAAGTCCCCTTTTTTCTTTTTAAAAAATTTCTTGATTTAGAGAACTTGATTTTCAAGTTAAAAAAAAATCCCATTGGCATTCTGATTAGATTTTGTGCAATAAATAAATAAATTAGGGAAGCAATATCTTTATAATAATGAATATTTCTACCCAGAAGTACATGTTCATTTAAATAAAATCATTTATCTACCTCACTTAAATTTTGTAGTTGTCTTTCCTATGTAGAGTCTGTACAATTCTTTTTATCTTTATTTCTAAACTTTTTTGTTACTGATATTTGAATGAGATCCTTCTCCACTAGCTTTCCTAAAGTGCTCATTGATACAAAAGCGGTTAATTTTTATGTGTGGAATTTGGAGTGCTGTACTCATTATACTGAATTCCACTGGTTATAATGATCCTTTAGGCAATTATCTTAGATTTTGTAGAATACTATCATCCATATAAAGATAGTTCAATCTTGTTTCCAAAGTTACATAATCTATTTGTCTTTCTTATTACATTACATTGTAGAGCTCTCAGAACAGTGTTGCCTTATGGTAGTGACAACTGACTTCCTCATTTCTCACTTTAATGGTGGTTCCTTTAGTACTGAGTATAAAACTAGCTGTTGATTTGAAGAGGGGCGTGTGTGTGCACGCATATGCACTAGGAAAGCATTTAATCCCACTTTGCTAAGGTTTTTTTTTTTTTTTTTTTAATAATCAGGAAAGGATGTTGAATTTATCAACTGCCTTTTCAAATTTTATCAACCACATGTATTTTTTCTCCTTTAACCTTTTAGTGAATTATATGGATTCTAATTTTAGTGGAATCCAAATACTGAACCATGGTTCATTCCTTGAATTGAGACAATCCAATACAGGCATACCTCGTTTTATTGCCCTGCTTTATTGTGCTTTGCTTTATTGTACTTCACAGACATTGTGTTTTTTCACAAATTGCAGGTTTGTGGAAATCCCCTGTGGAGGCAGTCCACTGGCGCCATTTTTCCAAGAGCATTTGCTCACTTTGTGTCTCTGTGTTTGGTAATTCTCCTAATATTTCAAACTTTTTCATTATTGTTGTATTTTATGGTGATCTGGGACCAGTGGTTATGACTCGCTCAATGTTCAGATGATGGTTAGCATTTTTCAGCAATAAAATATTTTTAAATGAAGGTATGTACATTGCTTTTTTAGACATGATGCTATTGAGCACTTAATAGTCTACAATATAGTGTAAACATAACTTCTGTATGCACTGGGAAGCCAAAAAATTCCTTTGACTCACCTTATTGCAATGTCAGCTTTATTGCAATGATTTAGAACCAAACCTGCAATATCTCCGAGGTATGCCTGTAGGGAAGTTAGCTTCAAAACGCGTTGTGATTTATATTTGCAGTAGATTTGTCTTCCTAAATATTTTTATTCTAGGTTAATATTCGTGTTCCTCTGAGCACATCCTAACTCAGATGGGAAAGGGGTAGCCAGCAGACACATCTTGGTAGAAAGAGGACTGTGTTTCATATTTGAAATTTGCCACAGTTAATCCCACATATAATGAAACCAAATGGCCACAAGAGCCTCAGTTTGTGTGTCACTTACCCTTTGGGGTTTCTTTCCAGCTCATTTAAAAGTGTGTGATCACAGTATTCAAAAACTAAATGCATTTTCCTTTTTCTCCTGAACACCTCAATGAGGTTCACAAGGTTTGGGTGCTTTAATTGCTGCAAAGGAATTGAAATACAAAGTCTGGTGATTTTATTTCTTATAGTAGTTTCTCCCCAGATCCCTTACAATTTGAACAATGGAAGGCCTTGCTTACCATTCCCTGTGCATCTCTTGTGGATAATTTTATTATGGTTACTCACAAGAGGAACTACTCTTGGTAAGAATCATAGAAACTTGAGGTTGAAAAAGAAGATGTTTTTCTTCTTTAAAATAAATTCTTTAAGAGTTTATTTAATGTACCTGTATATAGATGGTAATTAAACTGCTTGAATCTCTCTGGAGATAGCAAATAAAGTGCACAACTTAAAATATAGGCACTGATACCACAAACACTTTATGTAGTTTGTGAAAATTCTAAACATCCAGGTCATAAAATAACCTGAATAAAAAATTGAAGAAATGGAATTACTGAGTAAAAGGCCCTAAAAATTATTAATCCACACTAAGTTTGCATATTGTCATGGGTTTAAACCCAGTCTGGATTTGCGTGTTGGTTTTCAGAAATACCAGATCCCAACATTCAACTCTGATTAAGCTGCCTATTCTACAAGTCCCCACAGTGTGTTTTTAATTTATTTATCATGTTTTCATCTCTGTTCTTTGATTCTATTGTTCTCTCTTATGCTTAGACGTCTTATGTGCTAAATTCCGTCTCAAGCTGAAGGATTTCACAAGGCACCTGTTTAATGCTATGAACCAGAGGGAAAATTCTACTGAAGATAGTCCATCATAGAGTTAACTATATAACTTATCATCCAATCAGGGTAACAAGCATAAGCCAAGACTGTCCCAGGCACATAGGCAGATATGGTCATCCTGCCTACAGCTAGGGCCACCATGTAAGTTAGCACACAAACCAGGAGGCTTTTGAGAGCTCGTTTGGAGGTTGTAGCAGGGGAACGCAGCTACTCCTAGACCCTTGACGGAAGAGCGGTCCTCCTGTATCAGGGAAGGTCGTCCTCTTGGGCCAAGCATGTAGCTCCAAGCTCCAAGATGCACATGGAGTGGTGAGGGAGGAAGAGGAAAACAGCCTAGCCAGCCAGATCAGCCAAATCACCTTTGGCAGTCCAGGGGGTGACAGATCGCCCTCACACCCTAGGGTGCTTTTGAAAGAGGGTGCTAACCAGACCGGATTCTGGGACAAAAGCTATGAATCAGGACATCTGATCACTCCTCCTTACATATAACTCATCTTCCCTATTGTTTTCCAGTATATAGATACATCACTTTCCAAACCCTCTACCACTTACTCAGAAAGATATATAGAGGGAACACAGTATTGTGTATACAGTAGGAGCTGCATAAATACTTTGCAGGCCCAATAGTGATAGCCTCCTCTACTTTAGTACCTGTAAGCATGACTTGAAGGGAAAAAAAAAATGAGTCTGCAACTATGTGTCTGCTGTTCAACAGTTTGAGAAAAAGGACTCCATTACATATTAAAAATATGTCCAGAGCATAAAATCAACTTGCCGTTGTCTAAGACAGCAGAGAGGCAAACGGGAGGAAACAGGTCACACAGGTAAGCCAGCTGCTTTGTGCTACACTGAAAACCACAGGATGGAAGTGAAACAGCGTCTCTACCAGGAGGCTAAGGGATTCACAGATACTAAACTGGTCAAACCCGGTTTGGGGTAGATGAGCAATACATATCCCCTTTGCAAATGAAATTAGCCCAGGAAAACAGTGACTTGTATCAGTAACACAGGTGATAAGGAGGACAAAAATCAAACCACATTTAAATAACAGGACGATAGGAAGAAGGGAAGGGAAGTTTATCATGGAAGGAAACTGTTCAGGGCACGCATGGGTATAACATTCCAAAAGCAGAAAAGGGGTACGTTATGGGAACCGTCACCAGAGACCAAGCTGAGGTGGAATCTGGCTACTTTTTACCTTCAAGTCAAATTGGGGCACTGTGACCCAGGAGGTACTACGAGCATTAACCTTACTTGCAGTCGTGGGTAGGCGGGAGGTGGGGGATAAAAAAGCATTACTTTCATTAGAAAACAACCCACAGCCAGGTCAGACACACCCTGGAGCTTAGCTCTGTGACGTTGTCTGCTGACCAGCGCCCTCTGCTGGCTGCGAGGTAACAGTGAACCGGTTTTTATGATGGATGTACTTGAGAACTCAGTCGGTGTATATGAAATTATATTTTAAACTATTATTAATTTTAGGAATTGTGCTGCAAATAATACTTGGAAAGGACAGATAATATGATAATTATTATCTCCCTTTAAAAACTGACTTCTGGGGTTTTCCTAAAAAAAGATGACACATGTCAAAAGTGAAGATCGGCTGTGTGTTCTTGAGGATATAAATCACATTTCTGTTATTCCAAGTGTGGTCTCCAAACCTTCTGTGCCACCAAGGAGTTTGCTGGAAATGCTGCATCTCAGGCTGACCACACACCTTCAACTCAGTACCTGCATTTTAGCAAAGTCCCCTGGGGATTCCAATGCACATTAATGTTTGAGAGGTGCTGCCCTGTGCCTCAGTTTCCTCCCTGATAAGATAAGGTGCTGGATGAGAAGTGTCGCTAGGTTCTTTTCTGGTTCTAAAACCGTAACATTTCTAGGACAGGAAAACATTTCCATTGAAGACTTATGAATCTTACGTGTCAAATCCTATCAGAGTAAAAACAACTTTAGGGGCACCTGGCTGGCTCAGTTGGTAGAGCATGTGACTTGACCTCCAGGTCCTAGTTCAAGCCCCACATTGGGGATAGAGCTTACTTAAACAACAACAACAACAACAACAACAACAACAACAACAAACAAATTATTTGTGAAAAATGTGTATACATAGCTGGGGGAGATACTCAGTAGGTCTAAGAACCAGTGGAACACAGGAAGGACCAACCCCTATGGATGCCACAGTCCAGTCCTGAGGGATCCTGTGCCGGGAGATGCTCTTCTAGTTGCCTGTTTGTGGGGAGGAGGATTGGGTGGGGGATGAGTGGAGAAAGGCGGGGGGGGGGGAGGGTGAACACTGGGATGAAGGGACTCAGGACAGTAGATATTTACCAACCAGAATGGAAAGTACTTCAGGATCAGAGCTGCCAAAGTCCAAAGCGATAATCAACTCATTTTCCATAGTCGCTGATACCAAGAAATTTAAGTCCAACCAGAAAAACAACACCACTTTAAGATGCATTCAAATTGTAATTTGGGCATACATAGTTCATCCAATACCATGAGGTTATAGATATATAGAGAAAGTTAACCTACCTTCAACATACGTATTTCTCTTAGTGCTATTTTCTTAACAACAGGATCATCTTCAGATTCCACAAATTTTTTAATAGCTACCACTTGTCCGGAGGTTTTGTTTCTGCATTTGAATACAACCCCATAGGACCCCTCTCCAATCTTAGCTAATTTTTCATACTTTTCCATTATGGTTGAAGTGACTTAAGGTACTGTATTGATTGCCTTGCAGCACAATGTTGCACCTGGAAAATAAGACGACTCAGCTTGATCAAGTCATCAAGGTCAATGTTCTCACAATCTTTTACATAAAACCAATTTACTCAGGATGCCAGAGATTTATTTCCATCGATTAATTTTAAATACACTTAGAAAGATGTGAACATTATTTTGGCAGTTTAGTTCAGTCTTTATGTGGTCCTTTGAGCTACTGCAAAGATTTCATATATTTCTTTTTTATTTTAAGATTTTTATTAAAAAAATTTTTTTTAACATGTACTTATTTTTGAGAGAGAGAGAGAGAGAGAGAGAGAGAGAGAAGATGTGGGGAGGGGCCAAACAGAGATGGAGACAGAGGATCCCAAGCAGACTCTGCACTGGCAGACAGCACACAGCCCAATTCAGGACTCGAACCCATGAACTGTGACATCATGACCTGAAGTCGGACACTTAACTGACTGAGCCGCCCAGGTGCCCCAAGATCTCATATATTTCTTATAGTGGGTCTGTATTTACTTCAGTTGAATTAAGGAATTCGTGGAAAGGAACCTTATCTAGTCTATTTTCATTATCCTCAAGTAAATGATTAAAATATGATGCTGTAAAATCCAACTGAAGGAACATTTTTATACTCTTGATTGCATTGTTTCTCTTTTCTCTCCTCACCCATTTGACAAGGGGGTTTAGGAAGAACTGAGAACCAGACAAGGTACAAAGTGCTACACTTCCACCTGGTGGACAGAGGAAAGAGCAGATATGGACTGTCAAATAAAGCAGCCATTAAAAACAGTAACAAAATCTTTCTAGCTCTTAGCTCTTATATGTATGAAGGAACATATCCTTAAATTCTTAGCTCCCAAAGAAAAGAAAAAGCACAAAAAGAGGACAGATTTCTCTAATTTTTCACGAATGCTTTCATATCCATAATGATTTCCATGGAAATATTTAATTTGTTGGTCCTGCATCACCCATGTGTGAATTTTGTGGTGACTGGATTACATGGTAAGTAACAAATAAGGCCACCATAATTAAAGAAATCAGTGTAGGAATTAAAAATATAAAAATTCAAGTAAGTCTCAAAAATCCCACCCCACTTTATCCAGCAGAATCTTAATATAATCTAATAGTGACAATAAGAGCTAGCCCTTAAATAACATTGTCCTAGGAAAATCACATATAATTTGCACAACCATTCTATGAAGTAAGTGCAATTTTCATCCAGTTATATGGATGAGAAAACCAAGGCAAGGTGAAGCTAGTATGGAATTAGAACCCAGGGAGTCAAGCTCCAGAGATCACAATTTCAATCACTAGGCTATACTGCCTCTCAGTTAGTTCAAAAGAATGCACAGTTAGGAGAACCATTTTATCCAGGTCTTAGTATTAATAAAATATCAAGTAAAAGAGGTGACCCCTTTTTAGATTTTTCATGTTCAAATGAGTATCCTCTTTCTTTTTCTTTTTTACTTCACTAACATCTTTTCCACCCACAGATTGTCTCAATGGAGTAAGAAATCATCTACTCTCACTCATCACCATAGAAAGACACAACTGGGGGAGTGTTTACCTTGGTAAATGACTATTACTAAACCATTTTACAATGCCTCATTTTTTTTTTTTTTTTT